CCCAGGCCCAGAGTTCAGGCCCCACGACTGGACCCCAAAAAAAAAAAAACCAAAAAACTTCATGGACAGTCAGAAATTGGCATTATTATTTGGTTTAGCTTTTTAAGGTAGACAGAATAAAATAATGTTCTAGAAGTTTGGGCTCTCTCTTTGGGCAACATGGCAATGAAATGTATTCCATTCCAGATGTAATATATATCACAAATATAAAATAATGATTTGGCCAATAAAACAAGGGTAATCTACATTACTTGGTCATACATTTGACAATTTCTCAAATTTTGGAGGACCTGTGTTCTCAATGTACTGCTTTGCTAATAGCAACTTAAGTCCCATTGTATGAAAGCAAGATGCACCATGAAGATAAAACTCACATGGTAACTAATAATTCTTCTCATACCAGGTGGTCTATTATTTATTGACTAATTATAGAGCCCACACAGCTACCAGCTGTGGTGGGACATGGCTACTACTTGATTATTTTTAGCCCTGGAAATTGGAGGTTGCCTTTTCTTCAGTTTGGGATTACAAGCAGTCTTATCAAGATTTTTTTTAAAATTTGGAGCATGTCATATGACCCTAAGAAAAGCACAAAGAAGATTGCCAGAAATACTACTTATACAGTATGCAGAGAACAAGTAGTTAAAAGTCAAGGACAAACAGAATCACTGTGCCTATATATAATCAAAAGCTATTTTAAAAGTATTACTTTAGTTAGATATAAATAAAAGTGAAAACAACCCATGTTGTTTTTCTTGGTTTGGCCTATACCTTGTTCGGTTCCCCTGGATTATATGAAGAAAACATAGGAATGTTTCGGATCTCTTCCTCGGACAAACGATTTCTCTGGATTTCATCTTCTGGGACAAATTCTATTGGCTCTGTCAGCTTCTTAGGCCCAGTCCAACACTGCTCAGGTGAAAAATCATTAACTTTTGCCACATGGAGACTGGGACCTTTACCCTGTGCTGCCTGATTCCCCTCGTCCTGGAGTAATGATGAGTTCTCAGCTGTGTCACTATCACTCACTGATGTAGCTGAGACCAGTGAGTGGGAAGCAAGGGGTTCACCTCTCATAAGTTGGAACTCTTCAAGATGTTTTTTCATTATCACCTCTTGGTAAAAATTTTCCAGGTTGTTTATGGAATCACCTCTGTTCTTCTTTTGGGATTCATCTGGATCAAGACAAAAAGATAGGAAAGTTCTACAAATGTACCAGTACAAACATTTACAAATTATTAAAATTAGGTCCTGGATTTCAGATAGAGAAATTCTACTGGGACAAATGGCAATAAAATACATGGATAGCACGTATAACAATGCATCTCTAACAAGGCCAGGATGATGGCAATAATTAAGGCATCTAGGATTTTCAGGACCATGTACCTCTACTTGATAAGAACATATGAAAAATATAACTAGTAGGACATTATCAAACTTTAGCAAATTACAATTTCCTTACTGTCATCTAATACCAAGTCCATATTTAAACTGCCTTATTTCAAATATTTTTTTACACTTGGCTAGTTAATTCAAGATCAAAATGAGTTTTCAACTGTTACAATTCTTTTTTTTTGGGAGGGGGGGGTCCGGTCCTGGGGCCTGAACTCTGGGCCTGGGAGCTGTCCCTCAGCTCTTCAGCTCAAGGCTAGCACTCTACCACTTGAGCCACAGTGCCACTTCCAGCTTTTTTTTATGTGGTGTTGAGGAATCGAACCCAGGGTCTCAGGCATGCAAGGCAAGTGCTCTACCACTGAGCCACCTTCCCAGCCCAGCTGTTACAATTCTTAATTCTTTTATTCTAAAATGGTGCCCTTTCCTTCTTCTTTAGCTTGTTTTCTCCTCCACCTAATTTCATTGGGAAACCATATATGGTCTATGAACAAATATATAATAATTTTCTGATTATGTTAATTTATTCAATCCCTTCTACTTCCCAGCAGCTAACTCCAAATATATGTTATCTAATAAAAATGTGTTTAAATATTGTGTGTATGTATGTCAGTACTGGAGTATAAATTTAGTGCCTCATGCATGCGTTGGGCTTTTTTGCTCAAAGCTAGTGCTCCAGTTTTTGCTGGCTAATTGGACTTTTCTGCTTGGGCTGACTTCAAACCACAACCCTCCAGGGCTTAGCTTCCTGAGTAGGCAGTATTACAGGTGTAAGCCACCAGCATCTGGCGAACTTAGATTTTTAATATCAATTTATCAAGTCAAACTAAGCACATTTTGAAGCTCAGTAGCCATGTCTGGCTAGTAAAACTGTACTAGAACTGATAAAGACTGTATAATTATAGAAAATGTATTGAACAGTGTTGATTATACGTTTTTAGGAAATATATGTCATCCTATTTAATATCATAAGGTACCCATTTGATGCTCAAAATTTTTAGTGATGTTGCAATGAATCTGTGCTGTGGTGTTGGTTTCATCCCCTCCAATATTAAGTTCTCTCATTCACATTTCACCTAATGGGCTTCACATTAATTGATAAATACTGCCTAAAGTGATTAATGTATTAAGAGCTACAAAATGGGGCTTTCTTAATTATTTCAATTTTTTCTCAAAATTTTTATTAGCATCAGTTAGTTATACAAGGGGGTTCCATTTTGACATGTCTATATATGCATACAATGTACCTACTATTTCTTTTATATTTGTTATCTGGCATTTTATAGTGAACTTACTGTCATGTCATCAACATTTAGCTTCCCTATAGTTCATACAGGAATAGAAAGATAAATGTTTGATTCTTTCCCATCTTAATTATGACACTACTGAGTTGTATCTTAGAAATGTTTAATAGTGATTAATGGTTATTTTTAGTATAATTATGAAGTCATAAATTTTAATATACTGTTATTTTACGTGTTTTAATAAAACATAGTTATTCTCCACCCTCCTTGGCAGTACTAAGGATCGAACTCAGGATTTCATGCTTTTGAGGCAGACACACTACAACTTGAGCCATGCATCTAGCCCCTCTCTGCATTGATTATTTTCAAGGCAGGGTCTTGCTTTATGCTCAGCTGGCTTGGAACACAGTCCTCCTACTTGTGTTTCCTCCTGTTGCTGGGGATGATGGGTTCATGATGATATCTGGGATAACAGGTGCCTACTACTTCATTTAGCCATTGGTTGAAATGGAGTTTTCCAAATTTTTATGCCCAGGTTGACCTTGCACTCAATTTCTGCCTCTTAAGTAGCTAGGATTACTAGGTGGCATGATGACCCATCATGCTTGGCTGATTTTTTCCCCCTAGTGGTGAACTTACCCCACTTAGGAGTCCCTTCCAGTAAGTTCTTTAATTGTTAATTGATTTTTCTGGGACAGAAAGACAAACCAAGTTTATATTACACATTTTCTAACTTGAACCTGGAAGATTTCTCCAAGGATCCTTGAATTCCTTTTAAAGAGATGTGGCACTTAGAAATCACTGTGTTGTTAGATGTATTCACTGCTGTTGAACTGTCGTTGCTTACAGAGTAAAAAGCTACAACCTTTGGTAGCAGAAAAATACACCTTGTATTCACATTACTATTTGTAATTCACTTTAATATAACTGGGATTTTACTTAAATTTCTTGATTTTTGATTTCTCTTTTCCTTTATACTTAAGTTATCAGATTTGTTTTTCTTTTTTTCCCCACAGTGCTGGAAATTAAACCCAGGACCATATGCATCCTATGCAATCTTCACCAGTCTATATATTCCTAGCCACTAGTATGCTAATATTATCAAAATAACTCACTAGCTTCTTCCTAAAATATACTTACATGACTTTAGAAGTTCAAAACAATATTATATGACTATCAATGTTAAAACTAATGAATACACAGTTTTATATTTCCTTCAGTTACCTTGCCCTGTGAATATGCTTAATTTAGAATATAAAAATATTACTTTAAAATCACTAAAACATTTTCTCTGTTTAGTCATGGTACCAATTTTATTTATTATAAGGTTTATTGGTTCCTGGTTGTTTCTGAAATTTATTTCTCCTCCCCTTTCTCTGTCCCCTTTATTCTATTCCTGTCCTCCCCTATAAGTAAATAAATTATGGTTCTGTTGCTTCTTTGCTGAAAATATAAACAAACAGGCTCCCACACCCCCATATACACATATACAAGTCATTAGTTATATCTGTCTGCTATATAAAAGGAATTCACTATAAACACTGTTTTGCAAATTACTTTTTAGGACTAAGCAATATATTCTACCAGGTAACTCTATTAATGTGTAAAAATCTTCCTTTTTAAAATTGCAAATTACTCCATTGTATACAATAGCTTATTCAAGTACTCATAAACACTGGTCTTATAATTCAGTCTTATGCTGTTATGAGTAATACCTTGAAAAATAGTTTTGTATATATGGAATTCGCTATTTTTTTCAGAATATCTTTGAAATAGATGCTATGAAGTGAAGTCTTGAGATAAAGAATGAATGTGTGTAATTATATATATTATTAAATTTCACTCTGTATGACTTTTACTATTCTGTTACTTCCACCAGCAAGGCATAAGAATATTTAGAGAAGTGTTTAAGGTACAAAAGTGCTAACTCTTAAGGAAAAGATTGGTAAATTCAACTGTAATAAAATTAGAAGCCTCTTTATCAAAAATTTCATAAAGAGATGGAAAAGCAAAGCCCCAGAATAAGAAAAGATATTTGCTATAGAGAACCACTCCATCATTTGAAACCACTAGAAAAAATGAGCACGGGATTGAAGAGATATACTACAAAAGATGAAACACACATAGCTCATAAATATATGCAAAAGATCTCAACTACATTAGAATTTGGGGAGATGAAAGTTAAGAAGGAAATGAGATACATAAAGAAATCTGACATTGAAAAAAATAATGCAAATATGTATTAGTGAGGTTGGAAAAAAACTAGAACTGGATGAATCTACACACACACATACACACACACACACACACTTCAAAAATCTTATTATATGAGATAGATACATTTCCTGAGATATAGCAATAAACAAATACCCTGGGAACTACTACACAAGATAGCACCTACAATCCTCCAGTGTTTTCTCCCCAGACACACTAAATTGAAGTTATACAAGCACACAAGCTGAAGAAATCAGGTGAGCAACTTATAAGTCTATAACAAAATGAAAAATAAAAACACATTGAAGGTAAGAATGAAAGAGATTGGAGTAATGTGAGAAACAGCTTAAGAAACCAAGGAATGCCTGTGGTTTCTAGAAGCTGCACAAAGCCTGCCTAGAGTTAGGTACCAGTGGCTCACGACAGTAGCTCATCCTAGCTACTCGGGGGTGCATATGGGGAGAAGTGTGGTTCCAGGCCAGATGGGTAAAAAAAGTTCCTGAGATTTCCATCTCAACAAAAATAGCTGGGTATGGTGGCATGTCTGTCATGTCAACTATATGGCAAGCATAAATAGGGGATTGTGATCCAGGCCAATTTGGGCAAAAAAAAATCTATGTCAAATAAGCTGAGCAAAAAGGGATGGAAGCTTGGCACAAGCAGTAAAGTTTCTAACTTACAGATATGAAGCCCTGAGTTCAAACCAAAGTACTGACAAAAACAAAAAACAAAAAAAAAACTCCAATGAAATGAAAAACAAAACTAGCTGGAAGCTTGTCTCATGCCTGTAATCCTAGCTACTCAAGTCAGCCTGGGCAGGAAAGTCTGTGAGACTTGTCTCCAATTAGCCACCAGAAGCATGGAAGTGGAACTGTGGCTCAAGTGGTAGAGTTGCAGTCTTGACCAAAAAAGCTCAGGGACAGCACCCAGGCCCTGAATTCAAACTCCATGAATAAAGAAAAAAAAAAAAAAACCCCAAGCCCATCTAGAGTCTCTAGAAGGAATCAGCCTACTGATACCTTGACTTTTGAACGTCTGATTCCGGGACTATAAGAGAAGAAATGAGTGCTTAAGTCACCAAATTTATGGTAATCAGTTAAAGCACAGGAAAACAATATACTGCCCAAAAATAGAGCTATGCACTATTTCCATTCAGCATGGTAATCAGGGTTCTGGAA